TTTTTTTTTTTTTTTTTTGCAGTTTTTGGCCAGGTGTGGGTTTGAACCTGGCACCTCCAGCATATGGGACGGGCGCCCTACTCCTTTGAGCCACAGGTGCCGCCCCCTGCCTGGAGTATTTCCTTCCTGTAGCCTCATCACTTCCTACTCACCTGTGAGGCCTCAGACACTTCTGAGACAACTGCTCTCACCCTCCCCCCAGGTCCATGTTTCCCCTGTGGAAGGTCTTCCCATTCTGTCTCTCTCCTCAATGAGCTTTGTACTCATAGGTTTATTTGGGGGATTTGCAGAATAACCATTTATTCCTCACCCTGGAGGAAGGAGTCAACATAGTGGTTACAAGTTTGGATAGGGGCCAAGGGTGGTTCCTCATGCCTGTAATCCTAGCACTCTGGGAGGCCTAGGCCAGAGGATCACTTGAGCTCAGAGTTTGAGGACAGTTTGAGATGGAGACCCCCGTCTCTAGAAACATTTTTTTAATTAAAAAAGGAAAAAAGTTGGGCCAGACATAGTGGTTCATGCCTATAATCCTAGTACTCTGGGAGGCTGAGGTGGGTGGATTGCTTAAGGTCATCAGTTTGAGACCAGCCTGACCAAGGGTGAGACCCTATCTCTACTAAAAATGAAAAACTGAGGCAAGAGGATTGCTTGAGCTGAGCAGTTTGAGGTTGCTGTGAGCTCTGACGCCAGGGCACTCTACCCAGGGCAACAGAGTGAGACTCTGTCTCAAAAATAAAAATAGAAAGTTTAGGGCAGCTCCTGTGGCTCAAAGAGTAAGGTGCCAGACCCATATGCCGGAGGTGGTGGGTTCAAACTCAGCCCTAGCCAAAAAAAAAAAATGGAGAAAGAAAGTTTAGCTGGGTGTGGTGGCAGGCTCCTATAGTCCTAGCTACTAGGGAGACTGAGGCAGGAAGGTAGTTTGAAGCCAGGAGTTTGAGGTTGCTGTGAGCTAAGCTAATGCCACAGCACTCTAGAAGGGGCAACAGAGTGAGACTCTGTCTCAAACAAAACGTAACAAAACAAAACAGAAAAAACAAGTTTGGATTGTAAGGTCTAAAAGACTTGGGTGTGAGGTGTCATTTACCAGCTATGTGAATTTGGGCCAGTCCAGTGTTTCTCTTAACCTGTTTCCTCATGTGAAATAGGGATGAAGTTTCTGTCCTTGCAGGACACTAGGGAGATCTCAGGGGGGTAGTGCCCAGCATTGGTGTGCATGCTTCCTTTGCTGCGGCTAAGTTGTTGTAGTTGTTATTTGATTTGGCTCCAGGCATTGTGGCTCAAAGCAACGTGTGGTCAGAAGGACATTTTGGTTAAAAGAATGATTTACTTAGAAATGTGTATTCTTACCCTTTTGACCCACAGGCGCTGCTCCGTATTTGCTCTTTTTTAACCCCAATGTGATATACTATCTTTTTATCATCTTTCAAAACACTAAAAAAAATTTTTATTGAGACAGAGTCTCACTCTGTTATCCTGGGTAGAGTGCCATGGTGTCATCATACCTTATGGCAACTTCAAGGTTTTGGACTCTAGCAATCCTCTTGCCTCAGTCTCCCAAGTTTGTGAGAACACAGGTGCTCTCCACCATGCCTCACTAGTTTTTCTATTTTTAGTAGAGATGGGGTCTCCCTCTTTCTCAGGCTAGTCTGGAACTGCTGAGCTCAAGTGATCCTCTGGCCTGGGCCTTACAGAGTGCTAGGATTATAGGCGTGAGTCACCATGATGGGCCAAGAACACTGAAATTTTGACATGGTGACTTTCAGTTTGGGCTTGTGTCATGTTTCCCAGAGATTAGATTAAAGTGATATGCCTGAGGACTGTCAGAGAGATGATGTATGCTTCCCAGAGCATCCCATCCTAACTCATTTTGTCCCAATATTGATGCTGCTGAGCTTGATCACCTGGTTAAGGTGATATCCACAGTGTTTCTTTTTTTTTTTTTTTTTGGCCGGGGCTGGGCTTGAACCCGCCACCTCCAGCATATGGGGCTGGCGTCCCACCCTTCTGAGCCACAGGAGCCGCCCATGTTTCTTCACTATAATGGTGCCTTTCTTCTTTGTGATTAGTAAGTTATCTGTGGGTAATACTTGGAGAACCTGTGTGCATCCAATTTCTTTTTTTAGAGACAGAGTCTCACTTTGTTGCTTTTGGTAGGGTGCTGTAGCATCACAGCTCACAGCAACCTCCAGCTCTGGGCTTAGGCAATTCTCTTGCCTTAGCCCCCCCAGTAGCTGGGACGACAGGTGCCCGCCACAATGCCTGGCTATTCTTTTTGTTGCAGTTTGGCTGGGGCCAGGTTTGAACCCGCCACCTTCGATATATGGGGCCAGCACCCTACTTACTGAGCTACAGGCGCCACCCCGTGCATCCAATTTTTTAAAAAATTTGAGTGGCAGGCTCAGCGCCTGTAGCTCAGTGGCTAGGGTGCTGGCCACATGCACCAGAGCTGGAGGGTTTGAACCTGGCCCAGGTCTGCTAAACAACAATGACAACTGCAACAACAACAACAAAAACAAAAAAAATAGCTAGGCATTATGGCAGGCTCTTGTACTCCCAGCTACTCGGGAGGCTGAGGCAATAGTAATCCTTAAGCCCAAGAGTTTGAGTTTGCTGTGAGCTGTGATGGCTACAGCACTCTACCAAGGGCACCATGGTAAGACTGTTTCAAATAAAAAATTTGAGTGGCCAAAGAAAGTGCAGGCCACTGGTTGGAAGTTTCTGGCTTACAATATGAGAAGGGTCTTCGGCATTCCTCCATCATCATGGTGGGGAAGTGGGAAGAGAGTTGGGCTGTTCCCAGAGAGGCCCCAGGGAGTTCGGATGGGTGCAGGTGTCTATAATGGGACCTCCAAAGAGCACCTGTCTTCCTGCAGCTCCGGGATTGTGGAGGGCTGCGGGAGGTGGAGGTGACTGCATGCCTGGTGTGGAAGGACTGGCCTCACCGCGTCCACCCCCACAGCCTCGTGGGGAAAGACTGCACTGACGGTGTCTGCAGGGTGCGGCTCCGGCCCCACGTCAGCCCCCGGCACAGGTACCCACCCCCCTTCACCCCTAAACCCTCACCCTTGGTCATGGAGATTCTGAGGGGCTGAAGATAGATCACTCAGGGAAACCTTAGGGCCAGTGGCAGTACAACCAAGCCTCCCTACTATATCCCCTAGATGGGGAAACTGAGGCCTGGGAGCAGAGGAGGAGCTCACCTAGGCCTGTTGCTTTCTGCATAGACATTCACAGACATCCCATTTATCCCCTTTTTGTAGAGGAAGAAACTGAGGCTCAGAGAGTTAAGGAGCACAGATAATGGCTGATGTGGAATTTGACTCCAGAATGGACCTAACTAACTGCCAGGCTGCCAGGTCCACTTTTTCTCTCACTTTACAATTATATGTATAGATAGATTTTTTTTTTTAAGACAGAGTCTCATCTGTCACCCCGGATAGAGTACCATCGTATCATCATAGCTCACAGCAACCTTAAACTTGTGAGTCCAAGAGATCCTCCTGCTTCAGCCTCCCAAGTAGTTGGGATCACAGGTGCCCATCATGACATCCAGCTAGTTTTTCTATTTTTACACTTTATCTTAGCCAAAAGATAGAGAAACAATAGTTTTCCTGGGTTTTTTTGGTTTTTTTTTTTCTGAGACAGAGCCTCAAGCTGTTGCCCTGGGTCGAGTGCCATGGCATCACAGCTCACAGCAACCTCCAACTCCTGGGCTCAAGCAAGTCTCCTGCCTCTGCCTCCCAAGTAGCTGGGACCACAGGCACCTGCCGCAACGCCCAGCTATTTTTTGGTTGCAGGCGTCACTGTTATTTGGCAGGCCAGGGCTGGATTCAAACCCACCACTTTAAGAGTCTGTGGCTGGAGCCTTAGCCACTTGAGCCATAGGTGCCGAGCCAAAATATTACAATTTTAATACAGTTTTTTCCACATAATAAGAGATCTTATTCAAAGTGAAATCAATCATTCCCCAAAAATGTATGACTTATGGGTAGAATGGATGTGTATAGCTTGTCTAGGTACAGTTGGCCAGTAATGGTACCTTCAATTTAGCTTTTAAAAGTAATACATAGATAACATCCCTTAAAATGTGTTTGACACCCTCTATATATATTGTTTCTAGGATAAATTCCTAGAAATGAAATTGCAGGGTTCAAGTCTATACGTTTATAATTTTAGTGATTTATAGACTCAGTGAAAATGTCAGTTCCATGAGAGCAGGGATTTTGTCTCTTCTGTTCCCTGCTGTATCCTCAGCACCTAGCAGGTTACGTGTCACATAGTAGGTGCTCAGGGAATATTTGTAGAATGAATGATTACTGCCTTGCTATGTAGTTTATAGGTCCACCAGCAATGTGTGAGAGTGTTTGATTCTATACAGCCTCTCCAGCACTGGATATTATGAAACATTTTATTTTTTAAATCTTTTGTATTCTTCTACTTCTTGTAGAACTCACAGTCTAAATATTTTGATCTTTGCTATTCTGATAAGTGCTGGAAAAAAAAAAAGGGCATCTTACAACGTGGGTGTGGTGGCTCATGCCTATAATCCTAGCACTCTGGGAGGCTGAAGTAGGTGGATTGTTTGAGCTTAGGAGTTCGAGACCAGCCTGAGCAAGAGCCAGACCCTGTCTCTAAAACTAGCTTGGCATTGTGGCAGGCACCTGTAGTCCCCAGTACTTGGAGGATGAATTAAGAGGCGTTGCTTCCTCCTTTCTAGAGTCATTTTTGGCAGGGTTCTCCCACAGCTGTTGAGCCCAAGAGTTTGAGGTTGCTATGAATTATAATGCTATGGCACTCTACAGAGGGTGACAAAGTGAGAGTCTTGTCTCAGAAAAAAAAGGCATCTCATTGGTGTTTCATTTGCAGTTTTCTTATAAATGAGGTTGGCTGGTGTTCTCATGTGGTAAAGTTAAGGAGTATTTCCAGATCTTCTCATGAAATCTTGAGACATTTAAACCCCAGACCCTCTCTAAGGCTGGGACCTCTGGGCCTGGGGTGTCTCAGGCCTTGAGAACTTGAGTCCTGTGGCAGCATCTGTCGGAACCCTCAGGAGCAGGTTGGGGCCACACCTATCCCCTCATGAGTACTTCTTTCCTTCCCCCATATCCCTCCATTTAGTTTTAACAACCTGGGCATCCAGTGTGTGAGGAAGAAGGAGATTGAGGCCGCCATTGAGCGGAAGATTCAACTGGGAATTGACCCCTACAATGGTGAGCCTCTGCCCCTGGTCTGATCACCCTGTCCTCCTGAGCCCCTTGCCCTCTTTGCACACCCCTGTTCTCTCACCTCTCCAGGACCCATTGTCTCCTCCAGACTCATCCCTTCCCTATTCCCCTATCCTCCCCAACAGGGTCTCCACCCCCTACCCACAGCCTTCCCATGTCTCCTCCCCACAGCTGGGTCCCTGAAGAACCATCAGGAAGTGGATATGAATGTCGTGAGAATCTGCTTCCAGGCCTCATATAGGGACCAGCAGGGACAGATGCGCCGGCTGGATCCTGTGCTGTCTGAGCCTGTCTATGACAAGAGTGAGTTGAGAGTACTATGTCCATTAGGATTGTCTTTGGCTGCAGGTATCAGAAATTCCCCCTAATAAAAACAAGAACAAAAACAAAAGGACAGGCTTGGCGCCTGTGGCTTAAGTGACTAAGGCGCCAGCCACATACACCTAAGCTGGTGGGTTCGAATCCAGCCTGGGCCTGCCAAACAACAATGACAACTGCAACCAAACCAAAACAGGGGTTGTGGTGGGCGCCTGTAGTCCCAGCTACTTGGGAGGCAGAGGCAGGAGACTCGCTTGAGCCCAGGAGTTGGAGGTTGCCGTGAGCTGTAATGCCACAGCACTCTACCCAGGGGGACAGCTTGAGGCTCTGTCTCAAAAAAAAAAAGGAAAGAAACCAAACAAATGGACAAAACAAATCCTCCCTATAATCCCTGAACAAAAAGGATTCTTTTATTTTTGATTTGTCTCATGAAGTTTCTTCATGTTGATTCAGCTGCTCAGCAATATCAGGCACTGGTTTTGCATCTCTGTGATCCTCTTGATCTTTCACTCATGGTCACAAGACAGCTGTCATAGCTCAAGGCATCATATCAGTATTTAAGACATGGGATGAGCAGCATAATCCTGTGTGGTTATTCAGGTTATACACTGCTAATTTCTAGGGATTAGCATTTACTATATAGCCTATGAAAATGGGTCCTTCTGGTATAGAATGCAGAACTTTTACAAGTATACTAGGTAGCCCTAGAGAAGAGATAGCATAAGCAAATTTCTCTCTCTTTTATAGAGAACATAATATACTCCCCAGAATACCCTTGGTAGACATCTGCTTATGTCTAATTGGCCAGAACTTGGTCCCATGGCCTCCCCTAATTACAAAATAGTCTGGGAAAGCAAATGTTAGATTTTTCAACCTCTGAAGAGGCATAGATGAGAGGATTGGGAATAACTGTTAGGTTTTAGTCACCCTATATTGACTGGAATAAACATGAGATGGGGAGGAATATTAATTCAGTTGGAGCTTTTAAGGATGCAAGTGATGGAATTTCAACTCATATAGGCTAAGGAAAAAAAAGAATTTGTTTCATTGACTGAGAAAGGCCAGAGGTAGCACAGTGCTTCAGGTCTGGCTGTATCTAGGACCTCACTGATGTCATTAGGAATCTATCTCTGTCTCTCAGCTTTGCTTCCTCCTTGCTAGAGTCATTTTTGGCAGGGTTCTCCCATAGCTGTATGTAGCTCTAGGCTTATATCCTACCCACTTGGCAACTCTCCCCTACTCCCAAAGCTTCATTTAGCTGCTTCCTCTTCTTCTTCTTCTTTTTTTTTTTTGTTGAGATAGAGTCTCACTTTGTAACCCTCAATAGAGTGCTGTGGAGTCATAGCTCACAGCAATCTCAAACTCCTGGGCTTAAATGATTCACTCACCTTAGCTTTCCAAGTAGCTGGGACTGCAAGCACCTGCCACAATGCTCAGAGACAAAGTCTTCTTCTGGCTCAGGCTAGCCTTGAACTTGTGAGCTCAGGTAATCCACCTGCCTCAGCCCCCCAGAGTGCTATCATTACAGGTCTGAGCCACCAGGCCCAGCCCATTTAGCTTCTTTTACCCATTGTGTGTGTGTGTGTGTGTGTGTGTGTATGTATATATATATATATATATATATACACATATATATATATGTGTGTATATATATATATTTTTTTGGTTACCTTCGGTAGAGTGTCATAGTATCACAGTTCACAAGCAACCCCTAATTCTTGGGCTTAAGCCATTCTCTTACCTCAGCCTCCCAAGTAGCTAGGACTACAGGAGCCTGCTATAGCATCTGGCTATTTTTTTTGATGCAGTTGTTATTGTTTAGCAGGCCCAGACTGGGTTTGAACTTGCCTGCCTTGGTGTATGTGGGCTGGCACCCGACCCACTGAGCTATGGGTGCTACCCAATATTTTTGCTCCGAGTTTCAGGGTTGTCTCTCATTGGCCTGGTTTTGGTCATAAGCTAGTCTCCAAGCAATCAGCTGTGGCTAGAGACAGTGGCACACAATCACTCTGGCCAGGTCTGGAGCACATGATCACTCTGGAATAGGAAGTGGTCTCAACCCTTGGCAATCCACATGACTGAGATGAAGGGTGTCCACTACCTTTTAGGCCATTAATCCTCTTCTGGGAACCTTTTGTGACCCCTGACCCCACCAATCTAAAGGATTTTTTTTTTTT